AACATACTTCTCACCACATTTTTATGCATTCAGAGAGCACGACGCTGTCCCTCAGAAGAAGTCACCTGCCTCAACTGCTTTCTGCCTAAAATTGGCGGCTAACAGTGGATGGTTAAGGCGAGTAGTGCATTGAATGAGAGGTCTAATTCTAGGGCGTCAAAACCCTACAAGCCTTAGCTAATCACTTACATAAGAAAATTCTGCCTGGGTTGCTGGCTTAACTGTTTGCTCATGAAACCCCCTCACACCTATAACTTGTAGTGGTGACATATACACTGCTCCGCATAATTATAAAGCCACCTATGTTTTCTGCAAAAACTCTTTTCCTAAGATGCGTTCGAAGAAGCTTCTATATGGAAAAGGATGTAGGTATAAATGCTTCTTTTGCACACCAGCGCAAAGTTCCAGCTTTGAAATTTGAAGAGTGTTTTTCTGCAATTTTTCGAAAAAGCCGCTCTGACCTATTCCGCATAATTATAAAGCCACCCCATACTTTCTCGTTGCCTTTCCTTCCTGCTCGATTGAATTTTTTTGTTGTTATCCACACTTCGTCTTTAGGTGAAAACGAGAGGAAACCGTCACCATAATCTGAAATAAAGGGAAATCGTAACAAAAATCGTGAAAGAGTTGAGAGGCAGTCGCACTGCCCAAATTTCGGGCCAGGTTCGCTTCAGAGTAAACAATTTCTTCGAGCATTGTGCAGGATATGGAGTAAAATTGAGCCTCGGAGATCGTTCGTTGCTTTCGGATTCAGATAAACGCCGCCTCATAAGAAAATCAAACAGTTCCACCAATTTGTGCTTGGAAATCAAACCTTATTTGAAACTTAAATCTCCAGCAGGTGCCTGTTCGGCGTCTGTGGCAGAACTGCAAGTTCATTCACGAGTGAGAAATGTAAAGCGCATTGTTTATGACAACAAAACATCTCAAAAACCGGGACAGTTTTGTCAAGAAGTGAAGCCGAGCGACTGGAGTGAGGTCGGTTCCTTACCTGTCATTTCACAACTTACCTGCCTTTCTTCCGAAGTTCTTTACCTCCAGGATACGCTTCTCCATGAGAAGAAGTTATCTAGAGTAAGAAAATGTTTCGAGAAAGGGAGACAAGGCGTAGGAAGTGACAGATAAAAACCCGACCTAACTCCGGTCCGCTCGGCTTCACTTCTTGACAAAATTGTCCCGGTTTTCGAGATGTTTTGTTGTCATAAACAATGCGCTTTACATTTCCAACTCGTGAGTGAACTTGCAGTTCTGCCACAGACGCCGAACAGGCACCTGCTGGAGATTTAAGTTTCAAATAAGGTTTGATTTCCAAGCACAAATTGGTGCAAGTGTTTGATTTTCTTATGAGGCGGCGTTTATCTGAATCCGAAAGCAACGAACGATCTCCGAGGCTCAATTTTACTCCATATCCTGCACAATGCTCGAAGAATTGTTTACTCTGAAGCAAAGCCGGGCCCGAAATTCGGGCAGTGCGACTGCCTCTCAACTCTTTCACGATTTTTGTTACCATTTCCTTTATTTTGATTGATGACGGTTTCCATATTGTTTTCGCCTAAAGACGAAGTGTAGATAACAACAAAAAAATTTAATCGAGCAGGAAAGAAAGGCAACAAGAAAGTATGGGGTGGCTTTATAATTATGCGGAATAGGTCAGAGCGGCTTTTTCGAAAAATTGCAGAAAAACTCCCTTCAAATTTCAAAGCTGGAACTTTGTGCTGGTGTGCAAAGAGCATTTATACCTACATCCTTTTCCATATAGAAGCTTCTTCGAACGCATCTTAGGAAAAGAGTTTTTGCAGAAAACATAGGTGGCTTTATAATTATGCGGAGCAGTGTATTCTGCCAAATTTTACAGCTCAGTTGATCATTAGAGACACTTACAGAAATTGTCCCAAACTTTCCAGGAACGTTTCGTAATCGCGAATTACTGGACAGTTAGATTTGTCCTCTATGTAGAACTGAGGTTGAAGGCACGGGTCCTGTTCGTTTTTTAGATGATTTTTCCAGTGAATGATGTAGCAGGTCCTTGATCAAGATCATAGCAATGTCACGACTGGTAAATGAGAGAAGGCTTTGCCTTGAAGTCGCTATCTTATTTTCGGTGTCCACGCTTCCTCTTTCATGCCTGTCCTCTTCGCGCCATTCTGTGTCTGTCGCATCCCATTCGACCATAGAAAAGGAGGATGACCACCAATCCAAGTGTTTTCTACTGTTCTTTTGCTTTCTTTCCTAACTGGCGGCTCCTTCCGGTCTCGTTTCATTCATAAGTGGGATAACACTCCACTTTGACTTCACTTTGATCGCGACCCATGCGTTTGAACACATCACCTGTCACAATCGCATCGCAAATGATTCCAGGCCTTGTGTTGTTGGTGACGGGGGTACAGAATCCTCGAACTTAATATGTTACGCTCAAACGGAAGATTCACGCTGAACGACAGCAGCCTGTTAATCCATTTAGTAGCATTGCTTCTAACTATAATTTTTCAGTAATTTTCGCTCCTAATATTCCTTCGTTGTTCTCTTCAACCGAGTTCATTTCAGACCCCATACAGAAGTCGTTTCACGGGCATCTCAGAGCAGTATGTCATTCATAGTCGAGGTTAATCACTGAAAATTGACAAAGAGAATCACTTCAGGTCCTCCACAACTTCTCGTGATAAATCGCCATTTTTACAAACCGCCGAAGAGAAAACAACTCATCTTCCTACAGCAAAATCCGCGTCATTCCAAAGCTCCAGCCCCTTTCGGTGATTAGTTGTAATAACTTCAACAACATTGGTATGAATTGCAGGGTTCAAAAGTGTTCGTCGAAACGATTTTCGTAGATTACTTTTTTTTCTCCTAAAAAGAGATGGTCAATTGAAAAATTTTTCTTTCGAATATCTTAAGACCTTAAGAGTAACGATTCGACTGTAAAAACACTTAAAGACATGACATATCAATAATTGCAGCGAATTTTCTAGTGGCAAAGTGTGGTGCAGGAACGACTGTTACGACTAATACTTTTTGCCCCTACTCTAGATGTGTTCTCATCACTTCATTCCTCTCGCTTGACCGTCACGAGCTAATGTTAAGTGTCACGCCTAGGTCGTGACCGCGCGGGTTCACGTTCATTAGGTCGTGACCCGGCGCGGGAAAAGATTCCCTTTTTGATGGATACTTCTTTGTTCATCAATCACTTCTTGAAATATCTTGGTATCTGGCCATATTTCAGTACCGCTGTACGAGATAACTCGGCATTCTCCGACACATCTGCTGGTTCGGAACGTTGTTTCAACGCACTTTCTCCGACCGCTCAAATGCAACAAATAACAGAAGAGCGCAGATGTAATTTTTTCGACAAGTTTCAGAGCTTACATATACACACATTTACTAGTATTGTTTTCATAAATTAAGACATAATGCCTTTAATCTTTCGGATCTGAAGCTAGTCGTTTATACTCGCTGTTTAGCTGTCACAGTGACCTCAACGAGACGTGCTCGATCACCAACTGTTCGAACCAACACGAACAGCCAGGCGAGGTGAGAACACGACGTCCACCACAAACACAAATTGAAATTTCGCAAACTCATCATCTAATGTACTGATATCAAGCTACAACACTGTCACTGGTGCTTTTTGTTCAAGGCCAGCGCCAATATTGTGCCGAGATAGTAGCGCTGGCGCCAGAAAGCGAATGCCGTAGTTACGGTCACACACTGAACGACACCTAGAATTATGTTTACAGCGAATTTTGGAAAAGTAATGCATGAGATGGCGCTAGCACCAAAAATGAAAGTCCGTATTACTCAAAGATAGTTAATGTACTGTTGGAATCTTATCATAAGTATCCTAGTCAAATAGTGTCTTCAATCAAAGCATTTACTTGCGTTGCAGGTTGTGCAAACGCATACAGCGTAGTGTTAGCCGAAGTATGCATTCGGCTCTGTAGCAAGGCGTTGTTCTTGGTAGTGGTGTGTGCCTGCTTTCGCAGAAGCAAGCACAGCGGCACAGCATTCTCTCATTCCGAAAGCAACATGACAAAACCTTTTTCGGGCGAGGCCTCCATGCGGACACACGGATTTGCGTCAACTTTGCGAGAGCTAGGGGGTGACTTGTATTAGTTATTGAAAGGGTACGGCTTTCAATCTCTATTCAATTCGTATCGAAGTATATGCCCCCGTGATCAAGCGTGGCCTTTTGGTGTAGTTGGTCCGGAACACCACCGAATAGCAGAGAGAGGTCTTTAAAGGAATCTTGCGCGGAAAAATCATGATTCTATTTCAGCCATAAATCACTGGCTTGAGACTCATTATCCACGATAATAGTGAAAAGAACTGAAGTATTGCTTTCGTTTTGATTAGAAATTCGAAAACTCGAAAAGGCTGCTACGCGTTCGAATTGCCCACGGACGTCTTTCACGAATGCTGGCGACGGGGATGCTCAAAACACTCAACTTGGTTCTTGGAGTGCATTCACTAGAAGCTCTTTCTGGCCTTCTGCTTCGTTGCATTCACATCTTACACTTCTACTCCATCCTATTCCATCGATCGATTTGTCTCCACTCTCCGAAATCGCGCGCTTTAACCCGATTCTCTCATTGCGTCGCCTGGTACGTAGCCGGCCAAACGCCGTCTTCTTTCCATGCCTCGCCTGGCTCTGCCTCCTGGTCCTTCGATGGTCCATAACGTGTAGTTTTTGTACGTTTGTTTCTCTTCAGAAACCGAATCTTCATGCGTGAAACTTTGTGTGCTATTTCCAGTGATCACAACTGACATATTCATGTTAGGAAAGAGTGCAAGAATTTTCCGCGCAAGATTCCTTTAAGAACAATCGTATGAGCGCAATAATCGCGGAAATTAACGTCGGCAAGGAAGTGGTGGGTATTTTTCGGGTTTAGGCCGGCTACACAATGTTTCTTCTTATAACGCGCAACCGCTTGACCCACCTCGACCTTCCAATGAACTAATTTTCCATCGTGATATCCGCCATTGAAGTAGACACTTTCAATTACAGACGCCAGCCCAGTCAGGCGCCGACAACTGGCTCGTCGTTATCCCGTGGAACAGCAAGATCGACGACCCCGCATACAACCGTGAGTGAGAATTGCTTAGTTGTTTGAGTATGCTTACTGATCCTTTTTCAGCCCCATAGCCTCGCAACAGCTCGACCACTGTACGTTCGGAACCAGACCATGGATGGTGAGACAACCAGTGACACCTCTTCTAGAAAGCTTACTCTAGATTGAAACCGGAAAATTTCAGCTCTCAAAAGAGGAAGACTGTTTGGAGCGAGCAAATCACCTGCACCAGGTAGGCCTCGGGTTTAGGGTTGATTTTGATACCGTCGACAGGCTCCAAATATGCCAGTTTTCTCCTACCAAAATTCCCGCCGAGCACCCGGGAGAATGAACTATGTCTAAGGCTGATGTCAGACTGCGAATCGAGCGATTCGCTAGCATAGGCGGTAGCGTCGCCGAAACGAATCGGTCGATTCGCCAAGTCTGACATTGGCCTAATTGAAATAACAAGGGCATCTAATTTTCATCCATTATTGTCATCGTTTCTGGAAGTTTGCGGAGGTCAGAAGTTGAAAACGTGAAGAACCCTTCCTCCCTGCCTCCACCTAACACTAACCTCTAACATCCATTTCCAGAGACACCACTGAAATTTCAAAACACAACTATCAAAATACGACTCCCCTAATGAAAAACCTCATCTGACACCCTCATGAGAAATCCATTTCAGTACCTTCCACAACTACAGGAGTGAGAGCTCCGAGCACGACCAGATCACAAAGCCGTGGAACAAGAACAGCGGCTGCTATAGGAACTCCATGCGGAAGAACAACAGGTATGAAGGCTGAGACCAACATTGAAGATCTAGGGAATGTGACCATGCAAAAGCTCTCGAATTAAAAGGAAAACGCTGCTCAAACACAAAGGACAGATCGGCGCAGGTAGAGGGACGGTGGATTGACGCCATACTAATTTCAGTGTACAATGACGCCATACCAAATTCAGTGTACAATCAAGGATCGAAAATTGCTCCTTGTTCTTTGAGTTTTTTTTGCACTTTGTCCGCTGCTTACTCAAGGAAGCGCGCAATTTTTTGCTTGATGGGCTTCGTGATGCACTACTTATAAGTCGTAGACCGATTGCTGCGCGGGTAAGGCAGCGATCACAAAAAAAAAAACAAAAAACTACCAAGTACAACCGCAAATTGGTTACATTTCATAATAGCTGTAGCATGTCTTATTGACAACGAAACACACTTGGAGTCGTAAAGTAACGGATGAGGTGCTCATCTTGCTTCCGATTGTGCATGCACGCCCTCGGGCTCATGCGAACGGAAGGATGTGTGCATAACAAGATTATAAGTTCAGGAACATAGGGTGTATACCGTAACCTTCTCGACGTTGCACTGGGGCGCGCATTCTCACGTGTCATCGATTTTCTCGTCTTCTCTGCACCCTCTCAACGAAGAGAGAATGCGTCGAGCAGGCCCGCGCAGAGTACTATGCGCCGTTTATGTAGAAGGTGGAGGACACAACGCGAGCGGTTGTCGCCACACGTCGGATGAGGCGGCACCCCGGGGATCACCTCCCTGTGCTCGCGCGCGGAGCGCGCGCAGCTCGCCGCGCGAGCGGCGAGGCGAAACGCTGCGACGGTGTTTGGTTTTGTCCGCGGTGTATCGGCTTCGTCGCTGTGCTAAGTGCTGTCTTTAATTGTGTGTGTCTTATATGTCTCTCTGCGACGTCGCTTCCATTTTGGGTTCGCTGCCCCGAACAGCAGGGGCGGCGTCGTTGACCGCTCTCACACTAGTGCTGGCATTGTGCACTGGAAAGCCTGCAACCGCGCTCTGACGCAAACGTGGGTTACGGTATACATCCTATGTTCCTTAACTTATAATCTTGTGTGTGCATAAGTGAGGCTGGTGACTGGTATCAGGTTTGTCGTATAAGGAAGCGTTGCTAGCTGAATAAAATAAAAGCTGAAGAGAAGCTGAGTGAAAAAATTTTGCCCTGTACGTCAGTAAGGCCGCTGTCACAGTTTGCGAATTGAGCGATTCGCTGGTGAATCGCTGGATCCAGCGTTGCGCCAGCAAAGCGAACTTTGCGCCAGCGAATCGCAAAAAACCACACTGTTTGAAAATGGCAAGCCTTCATTTAAACGTTGGGTCCCGCCACTTTCATACAGTCTCGAGTCGCTGGCACATAGCTCGACTCGCTGGTGCATCGGTCGATTCGCTGTCGCAAAGTTCGATTCGCTGGCGCAACGCTCGATTCGCAAAGTATGACATCGGTCTAAGGCAATGACGTGGTCGCACACATCTGGCATTGTGCGAGAATCAACGTGCAGTCTTAAGCGATAGAAATTGACGATGAACGGACATAAACCATTAGCAACATTATAAAGAGTTACTGGTAGGAATGGAGTGTTCAAAGTTTAAAAAGAAGGAAACTATTTAAGTAGAGGTAACATGCTGTAAAGATGCCTGGATCGGAGATCTGAACGAAGAAATACACCTGAACACAAGTAGCCACATTTTCTCTGTACTTCTCTTAGAAAAGGTTCATAGTGGCAAGGGGCGAACGCCGCCATCTCAGTGTAGGGATCTTATGTGTGTGGATCGCTTGAGCAAAAAGGGACTTTCCGTGTTCCGCATCGCGATACCTTCGCTGGGGGAAGGTACCCTTTGCTCACCCGTGGTCAGCAGTCCAAAGGGATCCGTTACTATCCTAGCGACGCAAACCCGACTTTATAGACTGGATGGCGATCACAGCTCGCAAATGCTCTCAATCCTACTATATATAATTCGCTAAGTATGTGTCTCTGTGTGTGTCTGTCTGTACGTACGTCCGTCTGTCACGAAATTCATAGCGCGCTTCGCTGCAGGCATGGAACGCTGTATTTTGAGTATGGTGTAGGGGGTGGGACGGCAACATATTTGGGTGGGGTTTATAAAGTGATACCGACTGATAAGATCTGATAAGAGGCGCCAAAACGCCAATTTCATGATATTCATAGCGCGTGTCCCAGCAGTGGTGGGGCGTTGGTTCCAAGAAGTGATGTACAGCGTGGGACGGGAACATATTTGGTGGGGTTTAGAAAGTGATACCCAATGATAAGATCTGATAAGAGGCGCTGAAACGCAAATTTCACGAAATTCATAGCGCGTGTCCCAGCAGTGGTGGGGCGTTGGTTCCAAGAAGTGATGTACAGCGTGGGACGGGAATATTTGGTGGGGTTTAGAAAGTGATACCCAATGATAAGATCTGATAAGAGGCGCTGAAACGCAAATTTCACGAAATTCATAGCGCGCGTCCCAGCAGTGGGGCGTTGGTTCCAAGAAGTGATGTACAGGGTGGGACGGGAACATGTTCGGTGGGGTACAGGAAGTGATAAGGGCTGATAAGGGTTGATAAGAGGCGCTGAAACGCAAATTTCACGAAATTCATAGCGCGCGTCCCAGCAGCAGTGGGCGTTGGTTCCAAGAAGTGATGTACAGCGTGGGACGGGATTATATTTGGTGGGTTTAGAAAGTGATGCCCAATGATTAAGATCTGATAAGAGGCGCTGCAATTTCACGAAATTCATAGCGCGTCCCAGCAGTGGTGGGGAGCGTTGGTTCCAAGAAGTGATGTACAGCGTGGGACGGGATTATATTTGGTGGGGTTTAGAAAGTGATACCCAATGATAAGATCTGATAAGAGGCGCTGAAACGCAAATTTCACGAAATTCATAGCGCACGTCCCAGTACCAGTGGGGCATTGGTTCCAAGAAGTGATGTACAGGGTGGGACCGGAACATGTTCGTTGGGGTACAGGAAGTGATAAGGGCCGATAAGGGCCGATAATTGCGCTATTCGTAGGAACATAGAGACCATTTAAAACCATATTCTAGATAACGCATTTATTTAACCAGATTAGTCCCCCGTCAACCGCCGGGACCTTCCTTTCCTGCGCAAGCTTTCTATCCTCCGCTATGGTCCCTTCCTCCTGTGACACCAACACCTCCTGGAAGTGACGCGTATGCAACACAATGGTGTTTCATACAGTAGAAGGGACACAATCATGATATGACGGTAGATTTTTCGCTTCCCTTCCTCATCCTCCCTTCCTCTCTCCACTGCCCTCCAGCTGCCACTGCAGCACCATGTGGAATGAACGGAAGTGTGCTAAGCAGGTGTTTATATAGCCCTAAGAGTGTTATCACAACTATCCTGCTACAAAACATTGATATCTCAAATCCTGTAAGCTACCCGATTTGTTAGCGGTTTGTTTATCCCATGAGCTTCCTTCTCACTCACTTCATTTTGCGGACGGACACACATACATACACACACACGCACACACACACATACAGATACACAAACCGACACACAAAGTTAGCGCTTTATAAAATAGAAGGATACCATCTCATTGCGTTGTTTGTCATCAACATAAAATACGTTCGACCGCTACAATCCCAAAGTCTAAGAATGTATGATGGACGTTTAGCGATATACGATAATGGTTATTTCCATTGCAAAATCATTGGCATCAATATTATTCCACCGCTAAATCATCCTGATATCCAATAAATGGTGGTTGTTTACAAGCAACACTTTAGCTCCGCAATCCACCGCGCGTATTGACGATTTTTAAAGCAACAGTCCACGCAGGGTGGGCGTGGTTGGAGACGACGGCAATCCCCTCGGCCGATTACGACTTAGCTTACTTTAGCTCCCTTCCTAGCGGTTTCCCAAGTTGTGTTTTTGTTCACTAACACTTCTTATGTTCATGGCTGGGGCTGTATAGCTCCAAAAAGGAAATCGGCCGAGGGGATTGCCGTCGTCTCCAACCACGCCCACCCTGCCTGGACTGTTGCTTTAACTTAAGAATGGGCGTTCTATGGAAGGCCAGCTAACGCATTTCACGAATCAAGTTGTTGGTCAGCGGCGGAACCTAACGCTCCGCCGGTTGGTCAGCTTTACGGAGCTTTTCCGTGTCATGCACGCGGTAGTGTGCGGAGCTGAACTGGTTAAAGAAAACAATGACTTCAGTCAATGATATTACTTTTAGGAGTTCCCGAAGCACGGCAAGCCGCATCAGCAACACGAGCTGCAAGAAGTTCGTCAGCAGAAAGACCAGCAGCTAATACGAATATACTCCATGGACCATCTGGATTGGCAATCATCTCGGTACCGGACACTGCGGTACTTCACGGACCATCCGGTGCATCAATAATTTCAACGGCTACAGCCACACCGCAACATGCCGCCGCTTCAACTCCTCAACTGCAAGCTACAGAAGCACATCCAGAACAGCAAGCGATACCTAGATCAGCAAATACTGAGGTGTCATCTGGTCCCACAACTGTAGCGACTCCTAACACCGCTGTACAACACGGACCCTCCCGCACTGGAATTATTTCGACAAGCGCAACCACTACATCTGAAGTTGCAATGAAAGTTGTGGAGACGCGCGTCACAGAGATGCAGGAACGAGAAACGGCGATTAGACCAGCCAACACTGACGTGCTCCATGGACCAACAGGTCCCACAGTATTAGCAACACCCAACACTGCAGTACTACACGAGTCATCTGGTACAGCAACTATTTCGACGGCGGGTGTAGCAGCCATGTCGACGGTGGCAGCAACACCAAGTAGTGAACACGTAAGCACTGCCGTTCCCATTGGATCGCCCTGCGGACGAGTCACGCGTCACATACCGCAAGGTCCATCAGCAATTCCTACTGACTTGCTCATGATCCACAAGATTCAAGACAGGTCTGCATTACCGCGGCCGTAGCGTCTCTAAAGCCCGACGAGTTAGCCGATCTCAGTCTCGAGGTAAACCACAAACTGATGTAAGGACTGCGCAAAGTACCAGTAAGGGTGACGTACCGACTCCAGCTGCCCGACGTAGGAGCAGAAGTATACCATCTGTGTGGACCGCGAAAAGCGCTCCTAGAACTCGCACATCAAGCACTACACCTCCACCTCCTAATCGCTCAGCCGAAGTGAGGACCGCAATGAGTACCACCAAGCGCGAAGTTTCGACATCACGGCGTAGGAGTAGAAGCATACCATCTGCAAAGACCGCCAGAAGCGTTCCGAGAACTCGCTCATCAAGTGCTACACCTCCACCTCCTGAACGCTCAGGACGTTCTGATATAAGTGCACCCGCCGAAGTGAGGACTGCACGAAGCACCACCATGCGCGAGGGATCGACTTCAAACTGCACGGCGTAGGAGTAGAAGCATACCATCAGTACGAACGGCAAGAAGCGCTCCTAGAACGCGTGCATCAAGTGCCAGTTCAACTCCTCCTCCGGCTCTGTCGCGGAAATCCAAGCTTGAGACAGCGAATATTAGCAGGTCTACTGACCACTCTAGAAGTGTCGAGGTACAGGGTGACGCCAGTACTTCAAAGAGTACCAGTGTGCCCAAGATATCGACATCATCAGCGCGATCCAAACGCAAAAGCAGAGCTACGGATGTCAGTACTGCAAGAAGTACATCTATCCCACGTACATGGAAAAGTGTGCGAGATTTATCGGCTGCGAATTCAGCATCTACTGAGCGCAAAAGCAAAGAATCGACAGAGAGGAGAACAGCAAGAAGTCGTAGCACATCCTGGCCGCCAACATGGAGTGCGACCACCCCACCCACAGCTATGTCGAAGCGATCGCATATGAAAACAACACCCGGAAATTCTATTGACCGCTCTAGGCAAGCGAGTGCTGAAAAACAAGAAGATATCAGAACCGCACGAAGCCCAAAGACACACAAGACGAGAACTATCACACGTACCACTGAGATTACAACTATAAAAACTACGACGAAGACTTCGAATGATGGAAAACCAGCAGAAACAACGCTCAGAACTAAACAGAGTGAAACGAAAACGGCCCGTTTGGCAGCGTCTCCTGGGTTGCCAGGGCGCTCAACAAGGACAGCACTAACTCATACCGACTTCTTTTCACCTACGTCAGCTTCTGGAAGGAAACCAGTAGCTGGAAACGATAAAGAAGGCTGGAATCTTGCCAGAAATGCCAGCAGCGATCCGGCCGCATCTCCACGTGTAGCCACAGCTCGAAGCCGAACACCACCTAGAGCGATGGCAGCCGGTCGAGCCAGTTCGCCGAAAATTAACACGGCAAGATTGCCATCATCTACCGAAGTAATAGTGGAGACGGTGGAGAAGAGAACAGTCGAGAGGGAAATTGATGAGATGCTCGATAAAGCTCGTAGCGCTCATTTAAAAGAAAGTGCTCCACGTCAGGCTACAACACAACGTTTGTTTTACCTTTTATAGTAGAATCACGAAGAGTAAAGGCAATGGGCGCGATGGCCGTAAAGCGTAGCGTTCTTGATCATGTCCTTGAGCGTTAGGCGGTAAGACGATGCGAAGTATACCGCAGCGCGAGAGGTGTTTCAATCCGACATTAGCGTCCAACGACGTCATCAAGACCGCATCGCCTCCAGGCAGCGTGTCATTGCAATCAAGTTATGAGGCAAATTTCCGATCACCTGGGGGGCACAATTTTCTTCTGTATTAGAGTAGCTGATTCTACACACGTACAGTTGCAATGACTCTACAGCACAGAACACGTACAACCCCAGCATCGATTCACCCACTTTGCGTAAATGGCGTCTGTTTCCCACTCGTCCGCTAACTTACTTAGATGCGTGGACGACCCGTTCATCAGACGGCTTTCAGCCTTGCGCAAGTCCCAATTTCTTACGCACCTGGACGATCAGTTGATCAGCACGGCGGTTGACCTTGCGCGGGTCCCTATTTCTTTGCGCCTCCAGCCTTTTGCCTTGGTCGATCAGTGTACGACAATCCCGAACGCACAACCCACCCAGGAGTGTGAACGATGGGATGCGGAACTCCCATGCGTGGAAGTCAACCTAGGGCGTTAGGGTCTGCAAACTTAGTTGCAGCTGCGATGCCTCTGCTCCGCGGCAGGCTAATGTGTAGCGACCACTAGTCGGTTGCGTTCTCTCGCCTCTCCTCTCCCCTTCTCTCTCATTGCCTTAGCACTGACACATTACAAAGGTGATCAAGCCTTTGATTAATGCAAGATCATATTTGCTGTTACGGAATGCCAAAGAGTCAGTCTAACGATGGAAGGCCTAATGTCCGCTTCCCTCACGCGGATACCACTGCACAGTGGTCGAGCTCTATCATCCTTCTTTCCTAACCATCGAGTGCTCATCAAATCGGTGCTTCGATTGATAGGCATTAAAGGACGAATTCACGCTGGGAAGGCAACCCATTTCAAATTAACTCAGGGATGGTGATTGGTACACGAAAGAAGGAAGAACCATGAGAAACGGCCCAGAACCCGAGAAATGGGACCCCTTCCTTCCCCGCTGATTTGCGCATTGATGCGACTCTTATCGCTGTGCCCTCCTCAACATCACGCTCTCTCTGCTATCTAATCAATCCCACGTATAGATCTGCGGCGAGTGATCAGCTGGTCGGTGGGCGGAGATCGCCAGACCCGCCAACTTTGAGGCATAATAGGTCGCCGAGGTCAAATTTTTCGATGCGAATTGCGCATCAGTTCGCACCCTCAGGAGGTCCGTGGGTTACTCAACTAGGTGAATTACTTCTTCCTCGACCTCCATTCTAATCGTAAAATCCTCCTTTAATAGGTTGTCCTTCTTATTGATCGCCATAGAAGCCTGACGTCGAAACTGCGAAGGCTCAGCTTTCTTTGATGGCTCAGCCTTAGGCTTATCAGAGGACGTTCAATGGAAGCCTGAGAGCAATCTAGTCGCTTCTCCAGTTCTACTGTCGAACATCGCTCTTGCCCGAATCTGTTCACGTTCGTGCGTTCGACACGTGGATCCGTACCTACCATGCATTTCGTCACAAAAACTTCCGGTCCCGCCCACTGGTCCATGGTCCGTGGAAGATTCCTTTAAATGCAAGCTTTCGGCTGTGCCGACGTGCAGGATACCAACCGCACACGCACAGAGTGCACTACACCCCAGGCATGAATGGATACACCTGTATCCGCCACCTGGCCGGTTGTGGCCTCGCCACCAACCGCCTAGAGACCTTCCGTGAAAGAGGATCCTCACTGGAAGAGATCCGAAAGAATTAGAGTAACACCCTCAACCTCCCTAGGCCACCTCCCTCAGAGATGAAATCTATCAGATGGCACAGCGTATTAGACACACTCGTTCTCTAGTTACTCTTCCTCTTTTCGAGGCTTCATGAAACCAACGTGTCGCCGAGATGGTTGTAGGGACTGCTCCCAGATGAGCGCTCCCTGCTTGCCCAAACAGCAGAAAAACAGTCCCCTTTGGCTGACCTCATCCGATACCCGGTGAACATCGGCCTGTCACCGGTAATCGGCTGCTACGGGCACCGACACGCGGTTGGTGACCGTAGGCGACTGACGCTGGCCTTGACCGTAGAGGACGTGGTCCATGGCTTCAAAGCGCATTGGCAACCGAGTGCAAGTGGACCGGCCGGGAGCGCGGTGCGCCCGCGGCCACCGTCGAATTCGCGATAGCACATCAGGGTGTAAAGGCGCACTCGCCGGCGTGTCCGTTGGTGGATATTTGCGTGTAATTCGAAACATACTTCTCACCACATTTTTATGCATTCAGAGAGCACGACGCTGTCCCTCAGAAGAAGTCACCTGCCTCAACTGCTTTCTGCCTAAAATTGGCGGCTAACAGTGGATGGTTAAGGCGAGTAGTGCATTGAATGAGAGGGTGCTAGATTCTAGGGGTCAACCCTACAAAGCTTAGCTAATCACTTACATAAGTTCTGCCTGGGTTGTGTCTTTAACTGGTTTGCTCATGAAACACCCTCACACGATAACTTTTTGTGGTGAACATCTACTCTGCCAAATTTTACAGCTCAGTTGATCATTAGAGACACTTACAGAAATTGTCCCAAACTTTCCAGGAACGTTTCGTAATCGCGAATTACTGGACAGTTAGATTTGTCCTCTATGTAGAACTGAGGTTGAAGGCACGGGTCCTGTTCGTTTTTTAGATGATTTTTCCAGTGAATGATGTAGCAGGTCCTTGATCAAGATCATAGCAATGTCACGACTGGTAAATGAGAGAAGGCTTTGCCTTGAAGTCGCTATCTTATTTTCGGTGTCCACGCTTCCTCTTTCATGCCTGTCCTCTTCGCGCCATTCTGTGTCTGTCGCATCCCATTCGACCATAGAAAAGGAGGATGACCACCAATCCAAGTGTTTTCTACTGTTCTTTTGCTTTCTTTCCTAACTGGCGGCTCCCTTCCGGTCTCGTTTCATTCATAAGTGGGATTACACTCCACTCTGACTCCACTTTGATCGCGACCCATGCGTTTGAACACATCACCTGTCACAATCGCATCGCAAATGATTCCAGGCCTTGTGTTGTTGGTGACGGGGGTACAGAATCCTCGAACTTAATATGTTACGCTCAAACGGAAGATTCAC